GGGTGACAGAGCGAGACTCTGTCTCTAAAAAAAAAAAAAAATCTTGTTTCATGAGGGCAGTGGTTCTTGGATGGGAGGGGGAGTGGGGAAGTAGAGTGGAGAGAATTTGATTGGCAAGTGGCATGAACTCTTTGAAAAAGCTTTATGTGTTATTTATTCTCTGCACAATTTGCAAGTCATCATTTTAATAACTTTTGGTTGACAAATAATTATCACATACTTCTATTTAAGGCATGGTGCTAGGCACAGAGCCAGGAGAGAGGGCTTAAAAATTCAACTTCAGTTGACATTGCTAGTTTTGTTAGTCATGTTCAGAGCACTGTGGTTATGTTAGAGGAATGCATGTGAAGTGTTTATGAGTGAAATGATGTCAGGGATTTGCTTTAAAACACACAAGCAAAAAATAAAATAGGGGAAAGGAAAGATAAACATATTAACTGACAAAACTAACAATCATTGAAGATAGGTGATGGGTTCCTATTAGTTTATTATAGCATCTTTACATTTTTGTATACTTTCGAATATTTCCACAATAAAAAGTTTTTTAAAATTACTTTCAACTGGGTGAGGTGACTCATGCCGGTAATCCCAGCACTTTGGGAGGCTAAGGCTGGTGGATCACTTGAGGTCAGGAGTTCCAGACCAGCCTGGGCAACATGGCAAAACCGCGGCTCTACAAAAAATAGAAAAATTAGCCTGGCAGGGTGGTGTACGCCCGTAGTCCCAGCTACTTGGAAAGCTGAGGCGGGAGGATCCCTTGAGCCCAGGAGATTGAGGCTGCAGGGAGCCATGTTTGTGCCACTGCACCCGAGCCTGGGCAAGAGAGTGAGACCCTGTTTGAAAAACGAAAACAAACAACAACAACAAAAAACTTCCTTTTTTTAGCTTTTTAAAAACAGTTACAAAGAAACCGCCACCAAACCTTTGTTTTTGTTTTATAATAGTGTTGGCCTAGCTAGTCTGTCCTACTAGATGGCAGAGTCACTGGTGGTAAGATAGAGTTATTTATATTGATTTTCCAAACACAGAGTACTTATTTCTTTTGACCGTGATATCAGAATCAAAGGTATAATATTTAAATGCTTTAACGCTTTTTCGTTTTGTATCCTTTATATAAGTTGAAGCAGTTGGAGGGAAGGCCTTGCCGTGTATCGTTGATGTGAGAGATGAACAGCAGATCAGTGATGCAGTGCAGAAAGCCGTCAAGAAATTTGGAGGTAACAACTTCATTCTGAAAAAATTATTGAATATTGGTAAAATAAAGGTATAACTATAATGTTAATTTAAAAATTTGTTTTGATTCTTGAATTTTCTGAGTCGTTGGAGAAATAATGTATTTGTTCACGCAGAACATGGTTTAAAGGCATCTGATGAGGCTGGGCGCGGTGGCTCACACCTGTAATCGCAGCACTTCAGGAGGCCAAGGCAGGCAGGTCACTTGAGGTCAGGAGTTTGAGACCTGACCTGGTCAACATGGTGAAACCCCGTCTCCACTAAAACTACAAAAATTAGCTGAGCATGGTGGTGTACGCCTATAATCCCAGCTACTCAGGAGACTGTGATGGGAGAATTGCTTGAACCTGGGAGGTGGAGGTTGCAGTGAGCTGAGATTGCACCACTGCATTCCAGCCTGGGTGACAGAGTAAGACTCCATCTCAAAAAAAAGAAAAGAAAAAAAGTGTAGAATGATAGACTGTGGAGACTGGGAAGAAAGAAGGGATGGAAGAGGGGTGGATGAAGAGAAATTACTTAATGGATACAATGTTTGCTGTTTGGGTGATGGATACCCTACAATCCTGGACACTTCACAATCTATGCATGTGAGAAAATTGCACTTGTACCTTATGCATTTATTTTTGGAAAAATTCTTCTTTTATGTGGTTAAATCTCATCTTCACAAAGTCAGCTCCCTCACCATGCCAACTAATCAGAAGAATATTTTTCTTTCTCTGATTTCTTTTTTTCTTTTCTTTTCTTTTTTTTCTTTTTTTTTTTTTT